GAAGCACCTAATTTTACCACAAAAAACTGGGAAAATGGATTGACTCGAGTATAAGCCAAGGGAGGGAAATGCAGCAGCTACTGGTAAATTTCAGAATTAAAATAGATACTAATACAATTACAGTAATTGAGGCATCAGTAGGTTAAACGTTTTTGAATATTTACATAAAACTGTAATTTAAGATAAGACTGCCCAACTCTGATTAAGCCATTATTCTAACCTTCTTCAATGTAAATATGCTTACATATCCTTCCAATAATAATAAAGAGAGTATAATAATAATAATAATAATAATAATAATAATAACAACAACAACAGCAACAGCAACAGCAACAGAGTAAAATAATAAATAACCTTGACATGAGTATAAGACGAAGGGGACTTTTACGTCTTAAAAAAGGGCTGAAAAACTAGGCTTATACTCGAATATATACAGTAACTACAGCATAGATTTCCTGTTTTTCAAAGGATCTGTTTCATTGTAGTAAAACACATGCTCAACTTTGTTTCCCTGCTTGAGAACTGTCAACCCCAGAAAGCTGACTTAGCTTTACAGAGGTGGCCCAGATGTATGTACACACAGCCACAAAGAGTGGGGGAAATGTTAACAGTCTGTATAAAAACGTACAGCGAAATCTACAATTTACAGGTATTAAAAAATCACAAATATCTGAAATCACTCCAGTGCAATGGGTTGGTAGCTTAAAATGTTGAGAAAAAGAGTAGATGCCTATTAAACAGTATGTTACTAAATTTCTGAATCTATTGACCAAGATAGCTCACAGTTCTCTCCCACCTTATCTGCAGCACTTTAGGTCTCCCTCCCTCCCTCTCTCTGACCCTCCTTCCCCCAGTGTTTGTTTGTGTGTGTGTATGTGTGTATTCATTTTTCCTCTCTTGGATGAGCTCTGTGCTGGTCAGATGCAATACAACCTGTACTTGTTCTTTTTGCTGTGTCACATTTCCAGTGACCTTTACAGATGAATGAAATCTTGAAATTATCATGTTATGGCTAATGCCATGTAAACTTAAGCTGCATTTTCCTCCTGCCTGCCCACCCACCTCTGTACTGTTTTCTAGAAATGTACAAGTGGCAGTTCCAAACGGTAGGTCATTCCCTGTGAGTGGAGAGCTCAAGATCTGTCAGTGGATGACCAGTAATGCAGTACATGATAAATATAATTTGACACAAAGTATTCAGTTCATGAATTTTACAGAAAGGAAATAATGAGTCCTGAATTGAAAATAAATACACTCTATAGGTAACTAACTACAGGTTTCAAATTATTTGATGTCACAACATGCAGAAAGCATACCATGGTTTTCAAAACAAACACGGCTTATAAATTTGAAGTGGCCTTTATTGGACTGGCTTGGGGTTTATGTTTTAATTGTCTGAACCACCTTTCAAAGGGATTGCCAACAAGTGAGGTTTAGCATGTACAGAATTCATGACAAATTGAACTGCAATTTTTTTGGATGCATATACTGCTTTTTAAGACATTTAAGTTTTAATCTTTTAGACTGTGTGGAGCTTTGGGGCAGGAAAAGAGATCCCGTATCAATTGGTGTTTGGAGTCATGCCTCCGTTATAGTCATCATGACTAGTAGCTGTATATAGTTTTATTCTGCACTAATTTGCCCAAATCCCCTCTAAAATCATTTGGATTTATTTTGACAAGTAAAGCCTTGCATCACTGTAGCAATTTAACATAAAGCTAGTCAAATTGGAGTTGTGGTTTGAGTACTGGACTACAACTCTGGAAACCAGGGTCCATATCCTCGCTAGGCCATGAAAGTCCACTCGGTTACCTTGGGCAAGTCACACTTTCTCAGCTTCAGAGGGAGGCAAAGGTGAAGCCTCTCTGAACAAATGTTGCCAAGAACTTTTCATTATAAGTTCACTGTAGAGTTCCCAAAAATCAAGAAGAATACACAAGAACAGCAACAAACATTTCTAGTGCTGGTTGGATGGTGGGGAGAACAAATACATTGAGCTATTTAATTTTCAATATAATATTCCAAGTAGGCTGAAGGTTAAGTAGCTTTCTCTAGATATATTCTTCCAGAATGCTAATCCTTTAAGTATCAAGTGATTCTTGGCACAAAGAGATTAGCAAATAAAATAACATACAATATTGTCTGAATAATTTGGGTCTACATACAATCAAGACAGAACAGCTTGTGTCTTTTCGTGAGTAACTGAGAGAACTAATTTGTGTACATAGGTGCTATTCCCTCGCCATCTCATTGGTCTTTTCTAATGTCACAGGTTTAGAAGTTAGAATACTTAAAGCCCTTTTCTATTGCTACTTTGTTTTTTGCGGCCTAGGGCAGAGGCCAAATGTCAATATCAGCATTACTCAAGTGTTTGCAAAAGTTCCTTTTTTGGACTAGAATGTATAAACTATAATAATACTGGCTCAGAGATTTTGGACACTGTAAGTCAGGCAATGGGGAATTAATAATAACTTTTCCAAGGTGTGGCATTACTGATATCAGTGGTCTTCAGAGCCAGCTTCACTGCAGCTTTCATTACTTTTTGGTACTTACTATGGCAGTTTTTGTTTGGTGATGGCACACATTCTTGTAGTCTTTGGCAGTATGACTTACTTGTTGGAGAAAGAGAGCAAATAATTTCTTGGTGATGTTCTATGAGGAATAGTACCACATGATAATTTATCTTTTTATATTATTATTATTATTATTTGTGATTTCTGAGCATGAATGACTGAGATGACATTAATAATTTTACACCTACTGTTTTCATACTGTTGTTCTTCTAACTAGTCTTGCCTCTGGTGTCTTGGAATTGCCTTCATATTTCTGGGAAAAGAGGGAGGAGGAATAATGTGTCTTAGGTGTCCTTTTGAAAGCTAAACACTGGAGTAGAAATAGGGATATAAATCAGAGATGAAGAATACATTTTGACTGAAGAAATACAAAGAAACAGACAATAATAAATAAAATGGGCAAGAAACAAAGAGTACTTATGATCATAAGAAGCCCTTGTTTTGAGTGATACCAAAGGCCAATCTATCCAAACTCTTCATTTCCCAGTGTTGAACAAGATGCCAAATACAGGGTGCAGGAGGTACCCATGGTGTATACTGTTCCCTGATACTGCTTCATCAGCTGACACGCTGTTGTCATTTTTGTTTGATGTAGCATTGGGTCATAGTGACTTGTAGACACTGATAGCTCTACCTTAATCTCCCTTTAAAAACAGTTCTCAAGTACCAGTCCATTTCATGCCAGTAAATTCCATTGCTCATGTGTTGTATGAAAAAGCACTTCCTTTTCTTCATTTAGCCTTACTGGAATTTCCATGATGCACACAGCATGCATAATTTTATGTAGTGCAGTCATATTCTTCTACTTGCACCTTTTCTAAATTAACTAGCTCCAATTTTGTAACTTTTCCTCAAGGTACTGCAAGATCACACCTACCATACACTTCAAATGTCAAGCAAAACAAAACTATGGAACAAAATAAATCATATCACAACAGCATTGACAAATTCATTCTCTCTCGTTTGGATTCCTGGTTCAATTCATTATTTTTTAAAAGGTCTCTGCATCAATAGAGATAAATATCTGTGTATAAAACTTCATAGGAAGGGAGATTTTTTTCTGTTCTACAACAGGTGCTTGTAGTGGTAGAGTGCTACTGCACTCATGGCCTGTTCATGATCTTTCCATTGGTGTCAAGTTCAACACTATGGATGAAGAAGGAATTGGACTAGATAGGAAAACTTTTATCTGCAATTGTTCATTTTATGTTCTTTATTTGTGTTGAACCCTCTTTTTTTCACAGTGGCTTCCAAACTTTGGTACTCTAGGCATTTTTGACTTTAAACTCCCCATCAGCTTCTTCAATGAGCGGGAATTTTGGGAGCTGAAGTTCAAAACACCTGCAGGACCAAAATTTGGGAACCGTTGTTTTAGCAGAATTGAGATGTATGGATGCTTCCCACATCTGATTGGAGATAATGCAACCTTTATTGATGGGACACAAGATCTTAATATTTCTTTCCCTGGCTTCAGGTTTCATGTGATTTCAAAAAACTGAGCAACGCTGAAGTTTTGGCTGGAGTTATACTTTAAATATGCCTGTTCTGACTTAAATACAAATTCAACTTAAGAACAAAACTACAGAACTTATCTTGTTCATTACTTGGGGACTCCCTGTATAGATAATCAGAGACTGATTAATCGTCCTTTCGTTAGCCCAATTTAAGGTTTTAAAAATACTTTCAAGCTGAAAACCTTATTGGACCTGAGGTTGTTTAGCAGAAGGTCAGTGTCTAAACCCACATTTCCTGCCGCAGTGATATGACAAAGGTGGTTGCAAGAGCCTTTCCAATGGTTGTCTTTTCAGTATGAAACAGCTAGCTTTTCCTTCTATTAGGCATTTTCACAACTGTTCTGCTACTTTCAAATTTTTGTGTTACTTTGGTTAATACTTGTACTTTGTTTTTATGACACATTGAGCCAGCATGGTGTAGAGGTTGAGTGTTAGACTGTGACTCTGCAGAAGGGTTTGAATCCCTGCTCATTCATGAAAACTCAGAGAGTGACCTTAGAAGGATATGCTTTCTCAGCTTTTGGAGAAGGCAAAAACAAACTGACTCTGAACAAATTTTGCCAAGAAACTCCAACGATAGATTCAACTTAGGATAAATCCAATGACAGATTCAACTTGGGCACACAACCACAATTATGTGCCTGTTTATTATTATTAGTATACCATTCAGTTGTTAAGTAGTCTAATCCAAGGAATACATGTTTAGTTCAGATCAGTAGGGATTGCAATGTTTTTCTTTCATCGCATAATGTTTTAATGGGCAAATGCCTGCCTTCATTGGTACAAAGTCTAAGCTTGGGCCATGGAAAGGGAATCCAAAACAACTTGTGCTGAATTTGCCTGGCTTCTCTTCTGCTTTTGGTGTTTCTTCTTTTAAAATGTTGTTACAACACTATTCTATTAATCTCTACAGGCCTGGAGTGATCACAATGCAAGCGCTTTCTGAAGAAGACCGAAGACTGTGGATGGAGGCAATGGATGGCCGGGAACCGGTAAGCAACAATATTTGTGAATAGGTATTGAGTAAAAAATCAAAAGGCTCTTTTCATGGCTTGGCTGGAGCTGTGTGTGTCTCACTGAGCATGCTGGGGTAGCTCTGAAGTACTGGCAGAAGAATTCCTTTTAATCCTTTGGTTACATACTCGAGGCAATACTCCATCTTCTGTGCGAGGATGGCAAGAAAACTTTTGCTATCATGCTCTTAAGAAAGTGCAGAATGTACCCAAAAGTACTTCAGATGTTGTCCTACTGCTGGTATAGAAATGAAGAGAAAAGAAAAAGGATGGAAAACAGACGATTTACAAATATAATGCACAGTTTTACAAACCTTCCTTAAATCTGCTGTGTTGTAACTTTGTGATGCCTCTTGAATTGTTTGCTATTAAAAAAGAGACAGATCTGTCTTAACAACCATAGGTTAGCATAAATATTCAAGCATTAATTTTGGCTTTTCCTACCTAGTGTGTTTGGTATCGTTTTTATGTACATGTGGTAAATAAGTGGTCTACTGGTTAAGAAAGGCAGAGGGGCGTGTTGTTTTGACATCATTCTGTTTTCCTTCAATAGCTTCCTCTTGCTTTTGAAATGCCAGAGAGAAACTCAGCCCTAGCCAGGGTCAGCTGCATTGTTTTAAAAACCTGTCCTTAAACTATTCTCAATAAATACTTTTTTATACGTTTTAACAGAGTAGCTGCTGTGCTCATGTTGGAGTCTATTGGCAGTTTGTGAATTGACAGTGAATGGAGTTTATGGGCATATTTTTAAATGATTTTTGTTGATGGTAGCCATCAGCGTCAAGAAAAGGTGTTTGATCACCAGGTGATTAGCATAATGTTGTACTTTTCAGAGGTGTTTTAATGCCAAGATTCTCAATTTTAGAATGTTTTGAGCTGCCCAGAAATAGAGATGGAGCAACGACATGAATGCAGCATGTGTGCTAGAGAGAAAGGGGGGAAGGGTAGAGAAGACAGAGAAAGGGAGAGATAGGTGACATGATAGCCAAATTTAAATACCTGAAGAGATGTCGAATGGAAGATGGAGCATGCTTGTTTTCTCTTGCTGTGTGGATTCAGATTTTAAGGAAAATATTTCACCTGGTTGTTCATTAGTAAAATAATGGTGGATTCTCTTTCTTTGGAGGTCTCTAAGCAGGGTTTCATTTGGAAGTCTTTTGTTGGGTATTCCTACGCGGTAGGGGTTGTACAAGAGATGGCCCTTGTAGCTTCTACCAACTCTATAATTCAGTGTGTGAGGGATTTGAGTTATGCTTTCTGCCCTCTTCAATACTAAGTCCCCTATAGTGTTTCAATGATGACCAAGGACCATTTTGCCCTGTACTTGAAATCTCATCACTATAATTGGCTTTTTAAAGTTTAGTGGTCAATAGCTGTAGGCCCCTAAAATGCCATTCTAGTGATTTCTTTTCATGTCATGAGCGACTTGAGAAACTGCAAGTTGCTTCTGGTGTGAGAGAATTAGCCATCTGTAATGACGATGCCCAGGGGACACTTGGGTGTTTTACCATCTTATCTGAGGCTTCTCTCATGTCCCCGCATGAGAAGCTGGAGCTGACAGATGGCAACTCATCCCGCTCCATGGATCTGAAAGGCCAACGTTTTTTTTCAGTAGTCCTGCCGGCATAAGGGTTTTAGGGGCTCCTATTCTAGTGATATGATGTGATTTTGGGATTTAAGCTCTAGATATTCCCTCAAGCATGTGCTGGCAACCATAGATTCACTGAATCTCTGTAGTAGCTAGGTTATTTGTAGTCACTGGGAATACACTTCCTAAGCCCCTGTCAATCTTGTGAATGTTTGTCTGATGGGGTCAAAGAGTGTTGCACTCTCATCATTACCCCAACATCTTATTTACTGTATTTGTATATTTACTGTATTTGTATACCGTATCTTGCAATATTCTCAGAGAAAAGGAAAGGAGACAACAAGTTAAACATGAGCCAACAATGTGATGCTGCAGCTAAAAAGGCCAATGAGATTTTGCCCTGCGTAAATAGGAGTCTAGTGTCTAGATCCAGGGAAGTCATGCTACCCTTCTATTCTGCCTTGGTTAGACCATACCTGGAATACTGTGTCCAATTCTGAGCACCACAACTGAAGAGAGATATTGACAAGCTGGAATGTGTTCAGAGGAGGGCAACTAAAATGATCAAGGGTCTGGAGAACCAGCCCTATGAGGAGCAGCTTAAAGAGCTGGGCATGTTTAACCTGAAGAAGAGAAGGCTGAGAGGAGACATGATAGCCATGTATAAATATGTGAGGGGAAGTCACAGGGAGGAGGGCGCAAGCTTGTTTTCTGCTGCCCTGGAGAGTAGGACGTGGAGCAATGGCTTCAAACTACAAGAAAAGAGATTCCATCTGAACATTAGGAAGAACTTCCTGACTGTGAGAACTGATCAGCAGGGGAACTCTCTACCCCGAAGTGTGGTGGAGACTCCTTCTATGGAGTCTTTTAAACAGAGGCTGGATGGCCATCTGATGGGTGTGCTTTGAATGTGATTTTCCTGCTTCTTGGCAGGGGGTTGGACTGGATGGCCCACAAGATCTCTTCCAACTCTATGATTCTATGAGATTTAGCAGAAAGATTTCATTTATGTAAGGAGGAATCATTAGGAACAAATAACCAAGAAACCTCACATTTATTTGTAACTAGCCATCCCCTGTCACGTGTTGCTGTGGCCCAGTCTGGTGATCTGGAAAATAAAGTAATGAGAAAGCGTTGGTTTCTAATATATGTAATTTCTTTATGCTTGTGGGTAAACAGTATTTCTTGTTGTTTCTTTGTCAGTGTTGATGTGGAGATCCTTTGTTTGCCTACATGCAACATATTGTCCTTATTTAGGGGTCCCTTTCAAATCTATGATATATAACTCTGTGTGTATGAATCATATCTATCTACGTATATTTATGGCTGGATGGCTCTTTGTCAGGAGGGCTTTGATTACGTTTTCTTGCCCTGGTGAAGGGAGTTGGATTGCATGGCCTTGAGTATTTTCTGTTGGTCATGGAGTTTCTGTGTGGGAAGTTTGCCCCAATTCTGTCGTTGGTGGGGTTCAGAACACTCTTTGTAGGTGAACTATAAATCCCAGTAACTACAACTCTCAAATGTCAAGGTCTATTTCCCCCAAACTCCATCTGTGTTCATATTTGTGCATATGGAATATTTGTGCCAGTTTTGGTCCAGGTTCAGATCCATCATTGTTTGAGTCCATGGTGCTCTCTGGATATAGGTGAACTACAACTCCCAAACTCGAGGTCTGGTGTTTTCTCTTGGTCATGGGAGTCCTGTATGCCCTGTTTGGTTCAATTCTATCATGCTATTTGATTGTAGGTGAACTATAAATCCCAGCAACTACAACTCCCAAAAGACAACATCAAAAAAAATTGAGTGAAGGACATACATTGGGTTGTTAGGTGTATGCTGTTCAAATTCGGTGTCAATTCGTCCATTGGTTTATGAGTTATATTCATCCCAGAAATGAACATTACATTTTTATTTATATAGATGCAGATTGCAGGAAGGCAACTACAGAGAAGCAAAGACAGAGAAGCAGCCAAATAGTGAAGAGCTCTGAAGCTCTGTTTGTTTTCTACTGAAAATCCTCCCTCAGACTCAGTATGGTTCCTGAGTGTAGAATGCTTAGGGCAACCTCACTTGATCTCTCCCTTTCTCTTTCTGCCTGATGATCCTTTAAAAAATACATTTTGGGGAATAACAAATGCTGTATTTCCTCAGATTTTTCAGTTGTAGCATATATTTACACAATGCATACAGTCCTGACAGCCATCAATTTTAAAGGTTTCCATCTAGTATAAAAGAAAGCGCTGTGAGTATATAAATGTCTATTAGAGGTGCCTTGTTCAGCATTCGTGATTCTTAGAGAGAGCTGCCCACGGGAGCAGCTGGCGCTTTGCTTGGAGCAGCCAAGCCAATTGCAGGCAGAAAGCATTATTGTCAAGCAATAAGATTCACACTTTTTAATTTTTTAAAGCTGTAGATTGATGTACAAAGCAGAATCATATCTCTCCCCACAGGATGTCAGCCATTATCCTGGCTATGCAGAATTCATGATTGGTTGAATGTCATCAATTTTTTAAAGTTGTAATTTGTGTAGGAAGAGTGAACAGGAAAATATTCCCCCTCCCCACATTGCAAGGTGTAAACTAACTAGAAAAAGAAAATGTATTGAAATAATAAGCCAGTGACTCTGAAACATTGCAAGAGATGTTTTCTTCCTTCAATTTCAAGTGGATTTATGCAGATCATTGTGCTGTGATGCTGGGGATATAACAGTCCAACTCATACTTTATAATAATTTCCATGGCAATTTTGTCTGCCGGACGGAGCAGTGAATGGCACTTGACATCCCAAAGTCAATCTGCTAGCCAAGGTATTTAAGCTCCTGGGATAGAAAATCTCCACTCCGTTTCACAGAATGAAGCCACAAAAGTTTATTTTTTAAGGGAGGATGCCATCTTTATTTAAATTGTATTTTAAAATCAAATTCTGAAAAAGATTGGAAAAAGGTCTTTTGTGAGCTGCAGATACTTTTGTGTGATTTTCAACTAATAAGGTTTTGATGAAATTGCTAAATTAAAATTCAGTATGACACATTAAAGGTAGAAGATTGAAAGTCTCTTTTGTTGGGTGAACTGCCGGTGCTTTTCTTGAGAAGATTGAGATTTTCAGTAACTGAGTCTATCACAAGTTCTGAACATCAAAAAGGATATTTATTTCTCAAAGTTGCAAACAGAACAGTCAGTTGATAAACCAAATAGATATTTCTTCTTCCTCTTCTCCACCAGTTACTGAGTCAGCCTTTCCCCAAGTGGCAAAGGGATCCAGGGATCCTTCACCCTAATCCAGAGCTGTTGCCTTTAGAAAGAACAAATCTTTCCCTATCTATCTAAGCTCCAGATTAGCCTTGGAGATAAGACAATGCAAGATTACTAAGATCATCTGGAGAGGCCCTGCT